CTAGAAGTTCTAGGACCAGATGGGGTTCCTTCTCCAGAGGCAGGAAAAAGATCAAAGAGAAGCAGAAGGAACAAAATATAAGCTGGATTGGGAAGAAGATGGAAGCTTGGCATGATGGATGTTGAAATGGCGGCCGGGGTCTGGCCCTGACTAGATGTCCTTCGGGGTTGGAAAAGGTCCATGGATGAAGAGAAGTCCCATCATCGTTTTTCCTTGGCTAACCATCGCAAAGGAAGCCCATGCCGATACGTCTCCACTTCCGTTCTGTGTGGGTTGAACGTAATTCGGGCTCTTATGCTCTGACCTAATGGGGCTCTCTACGTGGACATCCCACCTCCCCTCCATAGATCTCTCCGGTGCCTGCCAAACATGCTGGCTTGTTCCCTTCCCATCTGGGCATCTTTTGAAATGGAAACTGCGATAAGCTTTGTTCACCGGACATCGTTGTCTGTAATTGTAGGTTGACTCATCTTTTAATTGCCGAAATGAGAACAAAACAAGCGGAGAGGATGTGAAACGCTCCTGGGTTGCTCCCAGATGGCTCTGTGTGGGACAAGACTTCACAGCACACCCAGGAATGGCATCCTTACATTTCAGCTCTCTGCCCAGAGAAGGCTGCCAGCTGTCGGTAGAGACTTCTTAAATTGCCTTGCAACCCTCCTGGGATGATGTTTCAAGGGGGATTTTGCTCACCCCGAGGTCACATTGCAACGCATAGCAAGCTGACACCAACCTCTTGGGTTCATGTTCCTTCTTTTTCGCTCTTCTGCGGCAAGAGAATCAGGTGTCAAAGAGGAAGTGAGATCACCGTGACGGAAACAGGGTTTTCACAACTAGGAAACCTCCGATGTAGAAACTAGAAATACACGCTCAGCTTCTTAAGAACAACGCTGAAGGTTTCTCCAGCTACGGTGACTTATTCTCAGCAGTTCCAAACAAGTCTTGGGTCACTTCCTATTTTTTTCCTCTTTCCTGGGTTTGGACCCTGGGAAAAAGGTGGGAGAGATGGTCAAGTTGGTGTTTGGGAAGCTGTCATGAAAAGCCCGTTCGGTAGAAGGGGCTCAGATTTGGAAACGGGATGCCACAAGTGTGATACTTAGGGGCTCTTCCAACTTGACGGCTTTAAGACTTGTGGGCTTCAACTCCCAGAATTCCTGAGCTGACATGGCTGGAGGAGGAATTCTGGGAGTTGAACTCCACAAGTCTTAAAGCCATCCACTTGGAAGACTCCTGAGTTAAAACAATGCTCCAATCAAGGAGCTACCAATTTAGACAAGTAAACAACAGCCGAATCAAGGAACCATCAAGAAAACAACACTCCCGCCAATATTGACATGGCGAGCTAGTAGCATAATAAAACAGAAAGCAAACACCACTCCTTTCTAGCACTGATGGTGTTACCTAGTTGGGTCATGAAATGTCTGCAAGAAACCACCAAGCTCAGAGAGCACCAAGGACCCTACAGTTCTCCTCTTCCATCCAAGAAGAAGAAGAAGAAGAAGAACCTCCATGCTTTGCAAAATTATCGGCTTCCATGTGCAAACAATGGAGTGCCAAGCATGTGGATAATTGCTTACCAGGGTGTGTCACCCACCCACTTGCTAACCTCACACTTGCGGGTTGGCCCAGTTGTGTGTTTCTTTCACCTGACCTGCCTTATGTCATCCCAGGACAGCTGCCTTCACACAAAAAATGACACAACTGGCTGGAACAACTGGCTTGCATCGCTTCCCACATGAGAATGATGTTTCATTTTTTTCCTGGATTCGCCCACTTGGTTGGCATTCCTAGAAACTCCAGAAGGAGGGGGGGAAAAAACCTACAATTTCCAAAGAGCAGACAAACCTACAAAGCGCATGGCGTGAAATACGACCTCGGTCTTGAGAACGAGGGACAAATGTCTCCTGTTTTCTCCTTCAGGCATCCGATGAGCTGGCAGCTTTCCTAGGAAAACCTTTTCTCCTCTGACCTCAGCAAAAAAAAATACATCTAATTAAGAATTTAGCATCCCAGGCCAAGGGGAGAGTGCAAGCAGCCATAAGGTGCTAAATTTATCTTGGTGAGCAGGAAGTAGTGATGCTCAGTCAAGAGTTCTCCTTCCTCCTCCTCCTCTTCAAAGTCCTTTATTTCCCCTTGGAATATTTGTTTGTTGTTTTATATCATACGTTTCCTTTCTATGTTGAGCAGTGTGCTCTCTAGGTGTCCAAGGTGTTAACATACAGACATATCAACCATCATCATTGTGATCACACATATGTATATCTGCCTCTGCTGACATCGTCTGAGTATTAAACTACCATTACAAAGATCCATGCCTTTATGTATCATTCATCTTGCACACGTAATAGGCCCTTCCACCCGCCTCCCACCTGTAATTAACTTTGTTGTTTTTGCTTCCGTCATGTTGGTCGATGGAGGTTTAATCCCTGTTGCTTCCTCCCTTGCCAGACCCATCTTGGTTTGCTTATCTCTAAGGAGTGATGTTAACCTGTCAGCTATTGCAATTTGTTGCTTTGCCTGTGACCTTGGGGTCGGGCGAACCTATGGCACACATGCCACAGGTGGCACGCAGAGCCATTTGTGCCGGCGCGCGAGCTGCAGGGAAACTGACCTCACTGCACATGCGCGCGCCTCACAGCTGATTTTCGGCCTCCCAGAGGTTTAAGGAAGGCTTCTGCAGGCTTTGCAGACTGAAAACTAGGCCCGTTTCGTCACTTCCTGTTTTTCCGGAAATACCGGGAGTGGCGAAACGGGCCTAGTTTTCGGCCTGCAGAAACTCTCCTCAAGCCTCTGGGAGTCCAAACAAGCCCTCAAACTGGTGGAAAAATCAGCTGCGAGGCGCACTGCAGGTAAGGGGGTGTGGGGATTGTGCACACGTGCGTAGGGGTCGTGGGGGGCGCGCATTGCCTTCTGGGTGCTGGCACGCATGCACAATTTTCGGCACAGGAGTCCCAAAAGATTAGCCACCACTGTTATTATATATTATATATTATCTTCCATTATAGTATCGATTATATAACCATCAGAAATATATACTCATCTGTTTCTCTTCCTCCTATAAACCACATTTCAGCTAAGTCCTTTAAGCTTCCTGAGATGCTACCAGCAGGCCCAAGGCTTTCTCCTTAATGGGAGAATCGGATCTCTTCCGGCAAATATCTTTGCTGGTTGTTTTTTTTTTTTTTTTCAAGGTCTGGGCCATGAGATCTATGATTTCTCTTGAGTGCAAGTCATGAATGCAAGGAAATCGATTTTTTTCCACTGTCATTGTAAGTTCAAACAATTGATCCAATTAACTCAAGGATCGCCTGTGGATTGATTTTTCTCCCTGAAAGGCACCCTGAAACCTGGTTATTTGGGGAGTTCGGGTTTGGGGTCCTGGTAGCAATTGGTCCCCATCCACCCCTAGAGTCTTGCAAAGAGAAAGCTTGTCCATCCATGCAGTTGAGACTTTCAAGAAGAGATTGGGCTGCCATTGGTCAGAAATGGTGCTTGGGCAGGTGGGGTTGGACTAGATGAGCTACAAGGTCCCTTCCAACTCCTGTTAATCGGTTAAATCTGTTACGCCAACATTTCCCAGGTTTTTTTGAGCCTGCAAAGAAAGCAGTTTGGGAGTTTTTCTCCGGAGTGAAACTGGAGGAGTGATTTCCCTTCCTTTCCTCCGCTCCTGTGCGTGCCAATGTTTGTTTATTGCTTTTTGTGTCTTTTTCCTTTCCCAAGAGGTACAATGGTCTCCCCATTTGGGCATACAAAAAGGCAGGAAGGGAGGAGACAGGAAAAATCTGGGGAATGGGGGAGCGGCCGGTCCATTCTTGGTGCACCGAAACCAAGCAGGCATTCCAAGAAAATTGCTTCCTGCAAATTCCAGGGTGGCCTGTTTGAGCCACGATTCCTAGTAGTGGGGAAATTGCGGGAGCTGCAACCTTAAGAAATAAGGAGAATTTTTCCTGAGAAGAATTAATCCGCGGAACGACATCCCTCGACTAAAAGGACCTCCAAACCTCCCTTCCTGTTTATTCTGTGGTTCTGTTCCTCTGTTGGCTGAGCCAGACAGGTATCCCACACCTGTGGCTCTCCTCTTCCCCTTGCCAAATGGGACTTTCCCTCCCTTTTCAGACTCAGCTGTCTTGGTTAAATTCAGAAGACATCAACCTACAACGCAGGTTCCTTTTTCTCGAGTCTTTAACTCTCCCGGGGAATTGCAACTTGGAAAAATAAAACAAAAATCCCAAAACACCGGAGGGGGATTTGGGAAAAATCATCACTTGAGAAGCCACCCCATAAGCTGCAGATGTTCTAGCAAAGGTGTGCTGGAAGCGAATCCTGGGATTTGCAAGTTAGGGGATTTTTTATTTTGTTTTCGTTTGTTTTGCTCTTGGTCTTGAAAAGCTTCGCAGGTTCCAGGAGATGTTTAAAGGCGATTTTTTTTCTCTCTCCCTCCTTCCTTTAACTTCCTCGGTTCAGCTGGAAGCCGAGCGCTTGTGGAATCTCAATGAACGTCCCACAATGGCGCTGTGTGCGAAAGGAGGTCAGGGCTCCCCTTCAACGAAGCATGGCCTTCCCCGGTCTGTAGAAGCAGCTAACCGGATTTAAAACCTGCAAGTTGCATTGACGGAATGTGGGAATGCATGCAGGACTCTGCGGGAATCCAACCCCGTCCTTTTGGAAACTATAGCATGGGTTAGGGGTCCCCAAACTTGGCAACTTTAAGACTTAAGGACTTTATCAATGTTTTGACAGCAGCTAGAATTGTATTTGCCAAAAATTGGAAAAGTGAAAAAATTTCGATAGAAGAGGTAATTAAGAAAATAATGGAATGTGCAGAAATGAGTCGAGGGCTAGCTGGATAGGTCGACTTAACGACCAGCAACCATTCAAAGTTATGACGGGTCAAAGGAAGAGGAAGGCGGGTGGAATAAGTTATTTGTGAAACTATAACAAAGGCGGGAATACAACTGAATAAATAAAAGGAAATTTAAAGAAATTCCCTGCTTCATTTCACCTCGGTGGCCTCTGTTTTCCCACCCAGGCGATCAGCATTAGCAAAGCCATCAACACCTTGGAAGTCCCTGTGAAGGAGAAGCACGCTCGGAGTATCCTTTCACACACCCCACGAGAGTCACCCACCCACCGTGCTTGCCTGACGTCCCTGGGGTTGGCAGGGAGCATCTGGGGGAAAGTTTGCAAAACGGTAGTAAAAACAAGCGAGCAAACGCAGGGAAGGAAGGGTTTCTGCTTCTGGGATTTTACCGGTTCAGCTTTACACCAGGAAATGCAAACAGGGTTAGAAGGTAAATAAACATCCTGAAGAAAACATTCAAAGGGAAGTTTCAGCTGCCAGCACCATTTCCTGATAAGGAGCATTTCTTCACCAAATTGTTTCTGGGATTGTCTCTGATTGTTGATCTTAGCAAAATAAGGGCTGTGTGTGTCTCCCAAATTTAATATGAACCTTAACTTTTGCGAAGGGATTATTCTAGGGACTCATCACGAGAAAGGTGCGTTTACTTTCTGGTCGTATGCCATTGGTCTTCCCCTGCCCAGCAGTGCCATCCTGAGCTGGAAGTTCTGCCATGTTCTCCACAAAGTTCTCCGAGATGGTCACCCAAACGTAAGTCCCTTGTTGTTGTTGTTGTGTCCGACCCATCGCCACCCCATGGACCACGTTCCTCCAGGCCTTCCTGTCCTCTACCATCCTCCGGAGTCCATTGAAGCTCACGCCGACTTGCTTCAGGGACTCCATCCAGCCCCCTCCTTCTCTGCTGTCCCATTCTTCCTCTTCTTTTGCCCTCCATCCTTCCCAGCATTCGGCTCTTCTTCTCCAGGGAGTCCTTCCTTCCTTCTCATGAGGTGACCAAAGTCTTTGAGCTTCATCTTCAGGATCTGGCCTTCCAAAGAGCAGTCAGGATTGATCTCATCTGGGATGGACCGGTTGGATGGCCTTGCAGTCCAAGGGACTTGCAGAAGCCCCAGAGTTCAAAGGCCCCCATTCTTTGGCGCTCAGCCTTATGGTCCTACATCGCATCTGGGAGAACCGTAGCCTTGATCTGATCACCATAGTTCCTTCATCTTCTCCCTTTTAACTTATGAATCAGAGACTCACGCTGCTTTTCATTCCAAAACGGCATAATTTTACATTTTTGAGAAATCCGATTCTCGGTTCTCCGTGGGTTTTTTTTTTTTTTTCCAACAACCTGTTGATTTTTCTAGGTTCTCCAGGACTGTCAGCGGTATCGAAGTAACATTCGAGAAACGGGGGATCTTTGGGTGAGTACCAGATCTCTTCTGCCTCTTAGATGTTAAATCGGTTCAGGAGGCTTTAAGCTCAGACCTTTGCCAAACTAGAGAGCGAGGCTGGGGGAATTCTGGGAGTTGGGAGCCCTCAGAGCTTGAAGTTGCAAAGTTGCGAAACTCCGCGTCCTGGTCAGTCTGGAGTAGGAGAACAAAACGAGGCCTTCCTTCAGCGCAGACCAGGAATTGAAACCCCGTAGGGGAATAGAGTTCTCCTCTCCAGATGTATTTTTGGAACCAGATGCATTTGTGGTTTTCCTTTTCCAGGGCCACCTGCACGACCGTTACGGCCAGTTGGTGAATATTTACACCAAGCTTTTGCTGATCAAAATCTCCTTCCACGTCAAGGTAACCGTCTTCCGAGCGATCCTATTGTTCTCCCAGTAAAGTTAGACTGAGTTTTGCAGCCTGGGCTTAAAGCAAGTGAGATACGGTTCCCTCTTATCCAGGCAGTCCTCATCTTGCAACCATAATTGAGCCCAACATTCCCGTGGCTGAGTGAGACGGTTGTTAAGTGAATTTTGCCCCATTTTACGACTTTGCATTGCCGCCTTTCTTAAGTGAATCGCTGCATTGGTTAAGTTAGCAACAAAGGTTATTAAATGAATCTGGCTTTCTCGTGGCACTGCAACTGTCATAAGTACATGCCAGTTGCCAAGCGCCTGAATTTTGATCATGGTCATAAAGTGTGAAAAATGGCCGTGTCACTTTTTCCAGTGCTGTTGTAACTTTGAACTTTGAACAGTCGCTAAATGTAAGTTGAGGGCTACTTTTGGCAGCCCTTTTTCCACGAAGCCCACGAGGTTTGCAAGCAGCAGGGTATGATAGGTAAAGGCAAAAGTTCCCCTCGCACCTGCGTGCTAGTCATTTCCGGCTCTAGGGGGCGCTGCTCATCTCCATCACAAAGCCGAAGAAGAGCCAGCGCTGTCCGAAGACGTCTCCGTGGTCATGGGGCCTGCAGGACTAAGCGCCTTCGAAGGCGCACGGAACGCTGTTCCCTTCCCACCGAAATAATGGCCCCTATTTTTCTACTTGCATTTTTTTACGTGCTTTCAAACTGCTAGGTTGGCAGAAGCTGGGACGAGTAACGGGAGCTCCCTCCGTGAGGCAGTGCTAGGGATTTGAACCGCTGAACTGCCAACCTTTCTGATAGACAAGCTCAGCATCTTAGTCCCTGAGCCACTGCGTCCCAATAAGGGTATTCTACCAGATGGCAATTGCTTAATTTTTGCTTCATTTCTCTCTCTAGCATCCTCAATTCCCTCCTGGGCTTGAAGTCACCGACGAGGTGCTAGAAAAAGCTGCCGGAACAGATGTGAATAACATGTAAGTTGGGTCTCCCATCTCGAGGAGCCCTTGGCATTTTTCAGAAAGCTTAACCCAGCTGCTTTTGGTCCCTGATGCCAAGGTGGCATTCCAGGAGTGAAATGGAGGAGGAGACCCACCCAAAGTCCTTGGCTTTGTAGTTGTGATATTTAACTCCTCCTTCTGGATCAGAATTCCGATCGCTGGGAAACAGCGTTTTCTGGATTAAATCTGGGGTTGAGTTAGTCTTTCCTGGCCTAAATCACTGTCTAGTTTTGGTGGTCTTTCAAGATCAGGGGTCCCCAAACTTGGCAACTTTAAGACTGGCTATCGCAATGAAGTCCACGAGTCTTAAAGTTGCCAAGTTTGTAGACCTCTGCTCAAGATGTTCAGATAGTTGAGTTGTGTTGTGGCCTGGCCTTGTATGGTCCCTTTGATCTGTCTGGAATTAGACATGGGCCCAAAACCCACAAGCAATGTGGCATTGATAGCTGGTATCCTAGTTTACTCAACCAAACCAGGATAATCCCTATGCTGGCTTGTATGGACTTCTGGCCTCAGTTCTGCTGCCAGTGACTTTCCAAGAAGAATTGATGTGTTTGTGGGAAGAAGATGGAAAAGCCACCACACAGGGATCCAAGACATGTTGGTCTCTCCACTTTTCTTCCTCCTCTGCTCCACGAGAAACTCGGCCTAACAAAGATGGCTTGTTGGTAGCAAGCCAGTCTCAATCCATATTCGGTTTCTTTCAAACCAAGTTCAAGCAAGCCACACACTTTAGGGGTTAGCCCAGAGGTCTCCAAACTTGGCAACTTTAAGACTTGTGGACTTCAACTCCCAGAATTCCTCAGCTGGTTGAGGAATTATGGGAGTTGAAGTCCATAAGTCCAAAAGTCTTAAAATTGCCACGTTTGGGGGACCCTTGGGTTAGGATGAATGAAGAAACCGTGGTTGATTGGAAATGTAATTTTAGAGGGTTTTTTTTGCAGGCAAGAAAGTGGGGAAGGGGTTTCTTGGGTAGGGGAAGAGACCAAACCCCTTCCTATCCTATCATTGCTCCAAGGTAGCTTGGATTGGATCCAGCAAAGGAATAATTATAGTGATGGAAAACTTTATAAGGAACATTTCTTGCTAATCCCCATTCCTTGCTAATTGTCGGAGGCCTGGCCCCTTGATATGGGAAGAGAAATTGAAATGGTTGCTCTTGATTTAACAATTCTCTGCAGCTTCCAGCTCACCGTTGAGATGTTTGACTACATGGATTGCGAACTCAAATTAGCAGAATCAGGTAAACTGCGCTGAGCTTCCATGCTCTCTCTGCCCTTTCATTTTCTTTCTTTTTTTCTCTCTCTCTCTCTCTCTCGGTGCCATTTTTCAGCTCAAGCAGAGATGCCCGTGAGGTTGCCAAGTTTTCCTTTTTTAAAAAAAGAAATGGGCTGAACAGAAGCGTTGTCTGCAGAAGTTGGCAAGCAAGACTTGCCTTTCGCAATCGCCCCCTGCTTGAATCAACACTGAATGCACAATGTACAAAAAAAGCAACAAAACAAAAAAAAGCAAAAACCCCAAGCTGGTGGTTTTTCGGTTAAAGTTAACGTGGTTTTGCAGGCCGTTTGCAATAATTTATCGGCTTGCTCCGTAATCACCTGGCATGGCCCTCCCCAAAGTCTTTTATTAAACAAATAAAATATGCAAGCCTAAAACAAACAGAACCTGTTGTGCAAGGGTGCAAAACGTTTGCAACCCGTGTAAATCCTTGCAGGTCGTCAGAATGGAGACACTGGTGTTTTTTGTTTTTTTAAATTCCCACAAGCATTTTCTGCCCCATGAGTTTGCATCTGCAAAGCTCTTGGGAAATGCAACCCCGAATTTTGCATTTCTGCCCCGCGAAGCCAACATCCTTTGGGAAGAAACGGAGCCACTGTTGACTTTGGTGAGTCACCTTCTCTCCGTCCTGCTTTTTGTGAGCTTCCTTTGTGTGGCGCATCAGATAACGCCGATGTTTGACGTCGAGCGGTGCTCCTTTTTCGTTGCCAACTTGTGGGGTGTCACCTGACCTCAGCCTGGCCTCCCTGAGGGCACAGAAATATATGTTCCAACTTAATGACCAACCTGTTATAACCAGGGCAACATCTCGCTTAAGCCAACCACGTTGCAGCCTAAGTAAGCGAAGAGCGTTTCTTAGCAATAGGGAAACTGTTCAATGCTTGAATTCATTAAGTGATCTTCTATTATGGTTCTGGAACCTGGAATTTTTAAATCCTGCAGATCCACAAATCTACCTGCAAACTCTCAGCTGCAACATTGGCCATCTCCCAGTTGGGGAAACTTTGCCTCCAAAAATGAAAAGGTGGCTTAATTTAAAATGAGTTTGGAGAAGGCGAGGAGAGAAGATTAAACCTGCAACGTTGTACAGGTCTTGCTCTCTTAGCCCAACGTACCTCACAGGGTTGTTGTTGTGGGAAAATAGGACAAGGAAGGAGTATTATAGATGTTCGGCGCTCTGAGTGATTGGTGACTTCTTTTTTCTTTCTCCCTCTGCTTATAGTCTTCCGGCAACTCAACACCTCCATGGCCATCTCCCAGATGTCGGCCGTTCAATGCCGGTTGGCCCCTCTCATACAGGTGATCCAGGATTGCAGCCACCTGTACCATTACACCGTGAAGCTGATGTTCAACCTCCATTCGTGTAAGTGGAATCTTCCGTGCATCCAAGTTCTGGCACTGGCTGCAAGGGGGAGCAGCTCTCGCATCCGGGATCTGTCTGGGATCAAAAAGTTTTGGGTTCTAAGCAGGAGAAACAGAAGTTTGATCTCTCTAGCTAGAGAGAATAAACCAGTGCTTGTCTAATGTTGCAACTTTAAGAATAAACCAGTGTTTGTCCAACTTTGCGAGTTTAAGAATGAACCAATGCTTGTCCAACTTAGGAACTCTAAGATGGGTGGATTTCATCTCCTGGCATGCTGACTGGGAATTCTGGGAGTTGAGGTCCACCCATCTTAAAATCCCTAGGGTTGACAAACACTGGAATAGCGATTCCAAAGTATCTGGGGAAACTTAGCCATAATTAAGCGCAACGGTTTGCAGTTGTTCAAGACATGTTCTGACAATCTTTTCTGCTGCTATCCTGCTTCTCTGCCTCTCTCCTCACTCAGCCCTTGGTCACGTGGAAATAGATCTGAATTGATTAACTAACTGGAAGAGATCTGCTGGGATTTGAGGCTTCCAAAGATTTAACACCCCCGGGGGGTGGGGTGGTCTGGTTCATTTTTGCCACAGATTCAGCAAAAATCGGCCTGTTTTTGCAGATCGCTCGATGCAAAAGGAGAAGCGACAGATAAGTTGGAGAAGAAACTCGACTAGGAGTTGAAGCTTCTCCTCTGTGCATCTGGTGTGTGTGTGTGTGTGTGTGTGTGTGTCCCAGGAACCTTTGCAGAGCGAGCAGGGATTGCTGGCTGACTCGGCTGGGTGGGAAGAGTGCCCTGAAGGCAGGAAAGTTTGCAAAGAACAAGTTTGCACGGCCGGATTTGAATTGTGGCCTGCAAATACAACACAGGCGCCCTTTGAAAAACGACCCTGGCAGTGCCAGCCAGAGACCCATTTTGGTGGGGAGGGTGGCATTCCTGCTCCTTTTTGACTCAACTGCTTGCAGCTCTTCTGTGGAGCCAGAGCAGGATTTAAACTGATGCATCCTTTCAAAGGATTTGCTTTTAAGCTGGAGGGGATTTGCTCGGATCCCCTGTTTTCTCTAGACGCCTCCTGAAATGCTGCTAATGGACAGAGAAAGAGAGAGAGAGAGAGAGGAGGTAGCTTGAAAACAGTCTGGAGAGATTCTCAGTCATCCAGGCCATGGTTTTCCCAAAGGTGCTTTTTCAGGAAGCAACTGGAAAAAAGCCCCTTTGGGACAACCGCGGCCTGGAAGACTGAGAATCTCTCCAGACTTTTAGCTATGCAATTTGGGATGAACACCCTTGGAATGGGGTGGGAGCAGGAATGGATTTCCAGAGGAGAAAAATGGCAGACTACAGGAACCATTTGCACCACTCAGGTGACCCCGAGGACACTGATAAACCTCCCAAGTGCTTCAAGGACTTTCTAAAAGGATGCAAATGACCAGCTTTCTCTGCAAGGAGTATAATTCCTTCCATTCCCCCACCATCGAAGTCAGAGCCGAAGAAGCTTCTTGGATGAGAAGTGAAACGTCTTCCAAAGAGGAAAAAACATGGAAGTCCAGTTGCCTCCTGAAAAAAAAAAGCTTTGGGACTTGAAAACAGGTTTTCTGCATCGGTTTTCCTTTTGAGGATGTCGCAGGCCCCGAAACCCAGTTTTTTAAAAATCGGGCTGGAGGGCTTATTTGCAAAAAGAGTAGCTTGCTTTTTCCTTTTTTTTTTCTTTTTCGTTTTCTCTGATTAAAAATGACCCTGTGAAGATTCTGGCGCTTCGTTCATTCCTCTCCTTCTTGCTTGTCCAGGTTTGCCAGCCGATACGTTGCAAGGCCATCGAGACAGGTTCCACGAACAGTTTCGCAGGTAACGGTATTTGGCATGCCATTTGTGGCTCTGTGTGTGTGTGTGTGTGTGTGTGTGTGTGTGTGTGTTGTGAACACCAGAACCTCCAAAGTGTTGCGTTAGGTATTCCCTAGCATGTAATCAAATTGTGCCAGGGCCGTTCTGATTTAAAAAACAAACAAATATACTGCAAGAATATTGTGCGAATTGGGTCCCCTAAGAATCCCATCTTAAAAGAAATGCCCTGTTGTACTTTTTTTTTAAAAAAAGAAAACATGCACAGCAGCATAAAGAATAGCCAGGAACTGCTTACCTGATCAGATTTCTGAGATCATGAGGCCTAGAAACTTGGCTGGTTTTATTCAACGCTGCACTCTGGATTAAATCAGTTTATAGAAGGGATTTGAGGAGAGATTATGAGTGTTGGTTACAATCAGGATAGATTTGTGAGTTAAGTTAACCTCTAAAGAACAGCAGTAAGAATAGTATCAACAGTAGCTAACTGTGCTTGATTCTTGTATTTTTTCAATTTACTTTCCGCTCTGTTGCTTTAGGAAGAACAGAGGGTTGTAAATAAAATACTTAACTGCACCAAGTAGTAAGGATTGTCGGTTCCTTGGGAAGAGCTCCCCCTCCTTTGATATTTTCCTGCTGTCTTCCCTTTGCAGCCTGAAGAACTTTTTCAAAAGGGCATCGGACATGCTGTATTTCAAGCGTCTCATCCAGATTCCACGGCTGCCCGAGGTATCCTCTATTTTTCCTGCTAAAAACAGGGACAGACGTCCTTAATTTGACCAGTATCCCTGCCTGCATGCGTGAAAGAGAATCCAAGCAAGGGGTTGAGGGAGGAAGGCTGCCAGTTCCCCTCCCTGCAGGGTTGTCTGGATGGGGAGCCAATCCTGATACACTGATGGATCGCTGGGGAAGGATATTCGGATGGATCTGACTTCCTTCCGAATGGAGGCGAATCTACGCGTCCCGGGATCATGTTGCAGGATCCAATCTGGGTCGGTCACATTTTGTCTTCCGAGCTTTTGGACTCGTGCTGGAGCCCATCTTCAGGGAACTTCTCTCTAGCAGAGAGTGTGCTGTTCTGTGTGCTGTATTTAAAATTCCTTGTTGTATGTGGCTTTTCAGATGTTGATTGGGGTGTGTTGATGGCTGCTTTTAAGTC